TATATATATGAACACATATAAAACAGGAGTTATCATTAAAGATTTTATATTTGGGAAATCTCCAGGAATGAAAATTCCCCTAACAGTCTGTCAATCTGCTGTTTAACTTGTACACATTCAACTTCTTTACATATATTCAGGTTTATACATGTATAAAAATAAAAATAAAAGAATAAAAAATTCTCATGCTACTCTGGATTCCTTCAGTGACTAAAATAGTTATTTGTTAAATTGACTTTGTTATATTATTGACTTAACGAGTCAAGTGTCTAAGCAACATGATAGACTAGTTGATTTTTTGCAAGTTAACCACCATTTATTGGTAGCTTCCTATGTGCCAGGCCTATGTTGAACTCCGAAGGACACAAAGACAGGGAAAACAGGGACGTGACCTGCTGGAGACTCTGAAATTAGATCCTGACATCAGTGTCTGCAGTAACCTCTCTCACGAATATGGTACTTTACAGGACACAAAGCAGAAGGATCAAGAATCAAAGAAAAGACGTGGCTGTCCCTAAGGACAGCCATGATTCAACCTAGGTCTCCTAGTATCTAGTTCAGTATCCTTTCTTTTTGATCATTCTTTAAGAATATGTGACTTTAACTCATAAAGTCCTAAGTTTTCAATTCTGTGAATATTACAACGAAACTGACAAAGATATATTAAAATAGATTGAAAATCATAATCCAGAGCTTATGTGTATTTTAATGAATATTATAATTATTAAATTATAACTATGTCATAATTTTATACTACATTTATGTTTTTATAGATGTCCCATATCTGGGACAATGGAACAAAACAGGATAAAAAAAAAGATACCACAGATGGAGGTATTTAGGCATTGTGCCAACTCAATGGGAAAGACACTTTTCAGTTAGGTAGCCTTAGTTAAAATTTCTCATATCTTAATAGCCACTTATTCTTTGCACTTGTGAAAAAGAGCTAAACATCTATGCTTCCCTACCAAGGTACAGAGTTTTACATTAAAGATAAAATAACTGGCACATCCCCGAAAAATTAGTTTTTACTAAGATTGACTCCACACATCTAGACCCTCTTTTGTGATCCTGCCTTTTCCATCCATTTCATGATTTTCCTTCTCAATTCTTTCCTTTTACGATTTGTAAAGCCACTCCCGGCTCTTCTTTTTTTCTCAAATTCTTTCTTCCACCTTACTAAAAGCGATAGATTACTTTTTTTTATGACACTGGGCTGTGTTTTCTTTTTCTCTTGGGGAAATTTATCCTGAAAGGGAAAAACATGTTTGACTACTTCATGAGATAATAAAATTAAATCTTTTATTTTCTATACCTAAGAATGATGTCAAATATAATTTATTCAGATATAAAATAAAAAATTGAAAGTAAATATAAGCAAACATCCAAATTTGGAATATTATTCATTATTTTTAGAAAAGCACTATAAGGACCTTCACAATTTTATAGCTAGAATAACTGTTATATACTATCATAAAGGTTAAGGAAGGTCAAATTAGAAATACAAATACAAATGTAACATTGGGGGGGCTAAATATTTATGTGTCTATTGGGGATTAAAACCAAGGGTACTCTATCACTAAGCTATACCCCAACTCTTTTTATGTATTTATTTTTTGTTTCAAGACAAGGTCTTGTGAAATTGCCAAGGCTAGCATTGAACTTGCAAGCCCCTGCCCTACCTCCAGCTTCCAGAGTAGCTAAGATTATAGGCATGCAAAATGTGCCTAGCTAATAATGGCATTTTTTTTTTGATGCCCATCCTTTTGCCCCCAAGTCCCAGAGACTGTTTCACCCCAGCAGAAGGAACATACCTGAAGTCACATGTATGATCTCTGACCTCCTTATAACTGCACTTCAACTCTAACCCATCAAGTGGAGGGTCTGGAAATGAATTCCTTTTGAAACTGTTTTTGCTCACTAGTTCCTAAAAAGGCTTCCTGCATTCTCAGGGGTATAGCACTCCAATTAGAAGATGGCTGGCCTATGTCCTAGCTCTGCATCTCAGACAGACATTCTGTCTAGTATATTTTGATTGGTACCCAGGGTGAATGCCAGGATGAATGGATGTCTTTGGAGCAAAAAGGGATTAGGAAGGGGCCCTCCTGGAAGAAAACTTTTGCAGTGGTGGGTAGGGATGGACTGAGAGGTGAGGAGAGGAAACCAGAAAAGCTGAATGGCTATGGAAAACTGCTGAAGCACTGGAGCTCTCAGAACCTGACTTCTGATCTTGTAGGTGGTTAGTCTCCTTTGCTGGCAACCCCATCTCCAGTGTATCAGCTTCCTCCCTTGCTCACAGGCAGCAACTATTATGTAATCCAGATTGTTTCTCCATTGTCACATACATACACTTGTACATAAATTAATGATGAAGCTATGATCTGAGAAATGCATCATTAAGTGATTTCATCACTGTATGAATACCATTCTGTGGAGTTGCTTATTAATGCTTATAATTACTACTGAGTTAATATTCAAAAGTTAACAAACACTGAATTAGCTCTTAATAACAGTAGACAACCTGTGAAGAGTCACCTCACATAGAAAAATATAACAGAACCTTCTGTTTGATTCTTTCTGTAGAAGTATTTGAAGGCACAGACCTGCTAACTTAAATATGCTTTCTGTAAAATAACCAGGTATTCAGGGATCTCTCATACGTGATTCTAGAGGAACTTGAAAGTCTTCTTAGTAAACAACAGGATACACATCAAAGTGTCACAATTTGCTCACCTTTCCATCAAAGCGTTTTATTATATACTGATCCAGGCCCAAGTCTGAAAAAGAGAAAAAAAATGAGCTACTGATTCTAACTAACTGAAACATATAAAAGAACAAATCTCAGTTTTGTTTCCAGGTACTCAATTAAATGTACTAGACAGTTTAGCTACAACATTTATTCAAAGGCCATGAGAATGAATATTCTGTCCCACTTTCAGATTCAAAGTTTTTAAGTCCTAAAAGATACCAACCTTTTATTTTACATATCAGAAAAGTGAGACTGACAGGGTACAAGCTGCATGTGTAAACTTTTTTAACAACAGAGTCAAATTAGGATTCCTGACTACTCCTGGGGGGGGTGCTCTTTCTATTATATTACCTATAATTAAGGTGAAGGACAATATTTAAACAGAATGCATAATATTATTTTTGTATCAATTTAAAGAAAAGAGTTCAATACCAAAAGAACTTTTGCAACAAAGCTCAAGAGACCATCTTAATATATCATCTTAATATAGAGAGTCAGGGGGAATAGAGAATACCTAGGTTTGAATTCTGAGCACTGTGAAAGACATAAGTACATACATTGTGTTTGACTGACAGGGATGTTTTTGTCTCTGCATAATGTTTTATTCCCCATACTTGATACAATATTTGATCAATAGACTACAAAAGAATGTATGAATAACATACAATTCTTTCTTTGAAGAGTTCCAATTGTGAGAAAGACATATGGGTATGATAATTAACATTATAAGGGAGCATACAATTAGTTCAATAAAAGGGTACTTTGTAGGAGTTCTGAAAGTAATCAGTTCCCAACTATATTTTTTTGTATAATTACTCAATCCTTTTCTTTCATGTCTTACCATATTCATGCTAGTTTAGACAGGAATATACTGTCCACAGTGTTATAACCAATTACCACTGCTCCCAGAAAATTTTTGCATTTCTCCTTCCACAAATTTTGTTACACATTCTCCTTATAGGAAATGTGTTTCATCTTCTAGAAGCTTGCCCTGAACAAAATGAATCACTGATTATAAAAGAAACAGATAATTTAGGAAACAGAAAGAAATTTTAAAACAATTCTAATTCAAAACTTCACAAATATTCAAGAAAATATTAGTCAAAAGGAATAAGCTTCTGTTATAAAACAAACAAGAAAGAGTTATAGACAATTAAAATTCTGCCTATCTCCCCCTATTTTTCAATACACTGTCAAAAGAGAAGATAAGGTAACTTCCCAGACTACTGACAAAAAGATAGCAGGATGGAAAGCAGAAAATATATGACAAAGTCATATCCTATAGGACCTACAAACAGAAAAAATATCCAAAAAATATTAGCAGAAACTCTCTCAAAACTGGAGAGACACAAACTAATACTTTACCAAGGGTTCTAAACAGGATGAACAAAAATCTATCTACATTCAGTGTATGCTTGTGAAATCTTAGAATAGTGAGGATAACTCTGTGAGCCAGGCATGATGGTGCATGCCTATAATATCAGTGGCTCAGGAGGCTAAGGCAGGAGCTCCTGATCATGAGTTTGAGGCCAGCCTCAGCAACTTAGTGAGCCCTATGCAGTAAAACTTGTCTTGAAATAAAAAATAAAAAGGGCTGGAAATGTAGCTCGGTGGTAGAGCATCCCTGGGCTAAATCCTCAGTACTACCCCACTCCACCCCCTGCCAAAAGAAAGAGAAACTCTTAACAGATTTCCAGGAAATGAAACTTCCTAGATACTTTAAAAATAAATAAGTATTAGGCTAGAATCAGATGTCTCATGAGTAAAACGTGGTTCATCATAAAGGCTAATAATGCTTACTAACTGGAGCAGCACTGTCCAACAGAAACATAATATTAATAACAAATATAAGTGTATTTTAAGTTTTTCTAACAGCTATTTTTAAAAAGATGTTAAAAGAGAGGGGTATGATAGCACATCCCTGTAATCTCAGCTTCTTGGGAAGCTAAGGCAGGAGGACTGGATGTTTGGGGCCAGCCTGGGCAAATTGTGGAGACACTGTCTCAAAATAAAATTTTAAAAGGGCTGGGGGTGTAGCTCAGTGGTAGAGCACTTGTCTAGCATGTGAGATTTACCAAACAATGTAGTAATTCTAAATAAGATGCACCTAATAAGAAAGTTTCAAAAAACTGATGGAATCAGAAGGATATGTACACAAATTCACAATTTAAGTCAGAAATTTACAGTCTTCTCTCAACAATTCATAGAGAAGAAAACTGACACTCAGTAAAGCTATACAAGGGAGAACGCAGAAGTGGTTGCCTGAGACTTGGAGAGCAGGGAAGTCAGGAAAAGAAGAATTGCAAACGGGAATGAAGAAGAGGATCATACGGTACTTTTTCCCATTCACAAGTAGGGAAAATGTTCATTATATTGATTGTGGTGATGGTTTCACTAGTATGTATATGTGACTAATATATAAAAACTCATCAAACACTCTGTAAATATGTGATGTTTATTTTATGTTAATCATAACTCAATAGAGCAGTTAAAAAGAGATAGTATAAACCATCAAGGAAAAGATGGATACACTTGAAAGTATTAATACTGACAACTTTTGTAATTAAAAATTACCATAAACAAAATAAAAAAGTCCCAGAATAAAATATATCTGCAATGCATATAACAGATTCCAATAAAGAATATATAAAGTATTTTTACTAATCAAAAAGAAAATCAAATAGAAAAATAAAATAGAGAATACAAACAGGCAATTCATGGGAATGAAAATGTGAGTGGTCAATAACATGCAGAAATGATAAGCCCCACTTGCTTTTATGACAAAGGTCATGAAAATTATGATGGTTGATGAATCCAGACTATAATGGCTATCAGATATCTAAGTCTAGTGCTTTTCTTTAGATAAAACTTTGATGACTGTTCAATTATTTCTATAGTATATTAGAACCAAGAAATAATAGTAAAATGTGAAATAAAACCACAAAAATACAATAATTTACTCCCATCAGTCTGCTAAACATTTAAGTTTGATACTATCAAGTTCTGACAGGAATGCACAGGAGGAAACTCTTGGAAAGAACACAAATTATTGTATGTACTCTAGAAAAAAAAACTGGCAATATCTGGTAAATGTGAAAAGGAAAGTTCCCTATGGGCCAGCAAATCCATTTCCAGGTATATCTTGAAAATAACTTTCCAAGTATACAAGAAGAGACAAATAGAAGACTCAATACTTATGGTTTATCATAGGAAAAACAGGCATAGTAGATTTGACTATTATCTTTGAATATTCACTTCCTTTCCAGTAACTTCCATGGGAAAAAAAAAAAACCCGGACTATAGGCTGTTATGTGACTTGCTATGGCCAATGAGATGTTAGCAGTTAGGATACAAGCACCCTTAAAATGGCTTTTCTCAAGTTGGCTTGCTTTCTTGCACCTCTTTCACCACTATTCAAACTTGTGGTCTAAAAAAGATAAAAGCAGATAAGTGATTAAACATACAGAGCAAACCTGACATATCTGCTAATGAAACCATAAAGCAAAGCTACCCTAGCCTAGACTGTAAATCCCTAGCCTTCTACAGAGCAAAGCCAACTGAGATAGAAAAGAGCAGTTTTTGACGTGCAGATTCATGAGCCAAATAATGCTTTTATGCCACTGTCATTTTGTGGTTATTTGTTACACAGCAAAGGGAGAGAGGAAGCAAAAAAGTGGGGGCGGGGGGACTGTTCAAAAGGTATATACTTTTAGTTAATACTATTTACCCATACACTTAAAAATAATTAAAATGATAAACTTTATGTGCTTATGACAATTTTTTAAAAAGGATGTGAGCAACATGCTGACATAGTAATCTCCTCCATCCCCTTTTTCAAATATTATGTCTTTCTCATTTTAAATCTCCATTTTCTGTAATCTGCTTAGACAGATTTGAACTCAAGCTATCCTAGTAATTAAAATAAACCATTTCAATGAGAAGATAACACAGCAACTTAAATCAGTGAACACGCCACTTCTACCTAAATGTGAATCTGGTCTACACTGAGGCAACTCATGGCAGAAAGAGGTCTTTCCAGACACATTTAGCAAATTTAACCATTTCAAATTTATTCAAGATGTTATAGAAAACTGTTAACTACAACTATAGTAAATAGATGTTCAATGAATTCAAAGTATATAATTAATGACTGATAAACCCCCAGGCATTCCATAATTAGATGAGGCCCCTTTTCTGTGGCTCATGTAAAATATCTGTTATGTAACATGTTCTATATAATTAAATTATAATGTATCAAATTTTAAGAAAATATCCAGAAGAATAAGGGAATCATCTTAGACTTAAGTATTAAAACATGTTTGTCCTTATGTAAAAATTTTAAATTATTTTCTATAAATTTTGCAGTCCATAACCATTCATTTCTTATCCTTTACAAGTGTTAATCTTCATATAATCAACGATGGCTCAGTTTCAGATTTCAACAACATCTCATATATATTTAATTTTTGAGTGAAGTTTACTACTCTGATTTGGTATATAAAGGTCATGAAAATTATGATGGTTGATGAATCCAGACTACAATCAGATATCTAAGCCTAGTGCTTTTCTTTGGATAAAACTTTGATGACTGGTCAGTTATTTCTATGGTATATTAGAAATAATTTAGTGTGACCTTTCTGTTTGACTTCAACTTACATGATTTTTCCCCCTAAAATCATGTTCATCAAATGCGTTGAAGTCATTTGCATCATCAGTGTAATGCAAATACAACAGTGATAGAATGTGGATAACATTTACTGAGCACTTGCTTTGTTTTAGATACTGTTCTTGATGCACATTATTACTTCATTCAATTCTCCTTGCAATGGAAATGGAACGAGACCCTCAGGTTTATACAAAATTACATACAAGAGGAAGTGAGGGGAAAGGGAAAAATAATACAAGGGGGAGGAATGAATTGCAGTAG